GCCAGCCAGGTTCCCAGCGGCAGGTACTGTGGGACAGAGGGGCAGTGCCTGCTGGGGCCTGGTCTCTGGGACAGATGTGCCCCTTCCCCACAGTGATGCTAGGGCGGGCAGGCAGGCAACATAGGGTGCAGCCTCTTTGAAACCCAACCCTCTCCATGGAGCCACCAGTGTCCCCCACATTGTGTACCCACTCGTGGCTCAGGCCTCATTAGAGTAGCCTCTATGGCCCTGTCCAGGAAAGGAGCCTCCATCAGAAAATTCAGCTGACTACTCACACTGACTTTAATCTATGAGAAGGATGACCTTATAATAGCATTTAAGATTAATGGAGTTTAAAAGAGCCAGGCCAGACAAGAGAGGGGGCAGAGCCTTATGTCCAGGAAGAACAGCTGGTGAGAGGGGGAAATGCACTTCCCCAGTGCGTTCCACAGAGAAGTACATATAAGGGCAAATCACCTTAGTGAGAGGTGACCAGCTAAGTGCAAAGAGGCATGAGTTGGTCACAAACCCAAACCAAGAGTTGAGGCTAATAGGAGGGCATTTATCACCCCCCATCTCTGCAAAGTCATCAGGACTCCTGGACAGACCCTCCTTCACTTCCCATGCCCTACTCCAGCTGGCTTCATGGAGCTGGAGGAGGGGTGATGGCAGCAAGCACTACAGTTCTAGGGGCTCATCTCTGTCTATTCCTTTTAACCCTTTAAGTCACTATGCCCCCCAAGGAATATTCCCATTAGTACATATTTTCAAAGTGCTCCCATTGCACTCCCTGGTGGCTCCCCCTAACCCAGCTAGGTTAATGTCTGTGTTGCAACAGATTCATGGGATTCATGCACACAGAAGAATATTCATGGAGTCATTGGAAAGTCTGACATGCCTTTATTCAAGGGTGCCATGCAGGCCACAAGCCCCTGTCTATGTCTGCGCCTCACTCCACTCCCAGTGAGAAGCCCCTACCTCCTTAAATACTAGCACAAACAAAGCAAGCCTTGGGCCAAAATTCTTAGGTAACACAGCATGAGCTGTGCATGTGACCCAACTTCATATTTTAGGAACTCTTTATCAGTCCCAGACTCAAGGCTCTGAGACCCAGTCTCAAGGCTATGAGAACACTGCTTTATCAGACCACTTCAAGGTTGTGAGAAACTGCTTCTCTTAGCTACCCAGAGGCCTGGGTCAGGGAGCCAGACCGCCTTCCCTTACCCTACAGTGTCCTTTCTGGGAGGAAAAAACAATGATATAAATCTGAGATGGGGTCCTGCTGGGAGCTAGATGCTCCACACCCACATCTCTAACCTCTCACCTCACCCTACCCACACAGGCTTTGTGAGTGTGACTTTGCTCTGGAATTTCTAAAAGTGCGTTCCTTTAGGAGAGGTCCTAAGTACAATATAAGAAAGAAAACAATGACCTCAGGACAACATTATGCCTATCCATACCTGACAAGCTGGCAGAACCTGCCTTTGACCCGTCCACGGCCCTGCCAGCAGGATGCTCAAGGTGGGGGTGGGGGTGGGGCTTTGCTGCCTGCTCCGTGGTCCAGATGGGGAGGGAGGCCCAGAACAAGGCTTCTACTGCCAGACAAGGAGTCCAAGACAGGCAGCAAGCCAAGTGGGTCCCTGCCCAACCACCCACAGAGAGGGCAAGGCCAAGCTCCCCAGTATAAGTGGTCATCCAGGGTAGACAATCAGCTAGGCCCTGCAGGGCCAGGGCAATGGAAGGGCCACACCAGTTTTCCCTGTGGGCCACAACTAGGTCACAAACCTCAGCTTCTGGGGGTGAGTGGAAGATAAGGGCCATGTTTTTATCTGAATTGCTCTGATTCTCCTAAATATATTTATACTCCCACTTTCTTCCCTAAAGGATCTAATCTAAGGAGACTTTAAAATCCAACAGCAAAGAACACAAAGAAAAGTGAGGAGGAGGAGGAGGAGATGAAAAGGAGGTCCAGCCTACTCAGAAAGGCTGTGCAGGGTGCTGCTCAGGAGGCTTTGCTAGACCCTCCTGCCACTCACTGCCCTAGGTCCCCTAGCGGTAAGGACAAGCAGAGAGACCTCCAGAGCGAGAGAGCTGAGAGCGCTGCTCTGAGCACCCCTTCCCCTTGTCTGGCATGCCCAGTCCTCCAAAGTTCAGCTAATGGTGGGGTAACAGTACCCTCGGTGGCCTCTGAAAGCCTGAAACCTTCAACATACAAAACAGCTAACGGCGAGAACAATGGGCAGGTCTCTGCGCTCGGTTGGGGCAGGAAGGACGGGCTACCTCACAGAGCCTGAGTAGTCCTGCCGGAGGAGCACCTGGCCACTGGGTACTGCGCTGCGGCGGGAAGGTGCGGATAACAGTTCCCTGAACGAGGCCGTACACGGGTCAGCACGCCACACCAGAGGGTACTGTGAAGGCACAGTAAAGACGAGCTAGGGGGCGAACGTGGAAACCCCAGAAGAAGTGGGCCTTCACAGAGGGGAGGTAAAACCAGAGTGGCCACGAATCGCCGGCTCGGCCCCCGGCTCCGCACTGCACCCCCAATCTCCCCAACCCCGGTCCTACGGGGTCAGCCACAGGAATCTGGGCCGCCGCTCAAGGCCCCAGGACCGGTCCCTAGGGTGGGTCTGCTCGGAGGTTACGCGGATTCCGCCGCTATCCTGAGACTCTCTTGAAAAACATGTCCCCAAATCAACCCCCTCACTCGCCCCGCGTTGGAAGCAGGGTCACCCTTGGAGGAGGTTCTGAGGGCAGACTCATCCACCCTCCTCCCCTTAAGAAACCACAACGGGCTACAGACCGAAGGAGAAGGAGGGAACCCATTGTGGAAAATTCCCCATCCCGCAAAGATCCCCCCATGCTGGCGGCGTGGGCGGGGGGCGGGGGGCCGGGAGCGGGGGCGGGGCGGGGTCAGGCCGCGGTGCTGCCCCCGCAGGCCCTTCTGCGGGACTGCAGCCCAGGAGGGAGGGACTCACGAGTTGATCTCCTGGTTCTCAGACTTTGATGAAGCATGAGGGAGGGAAAACCTTCATTTGGGTTCCGAGGCTATTTTAGATTTAAAACAAATTACCTTTCATTCCTAAAGACAAATTTTACCGCTGCTTGCGCTTTTCCAGGGCAGAAGTATCATGAATTGCTCTTATTTGATCATGACTTCCTCGCTGTGTTTTCTTTTTCTTTGGCATTAAGTTAAAGATCATACATGCACTAAAGAATTTATGAAGTGGATATTCACAAGACAAAGTCACAGAGCAGAAGAGGGGCATTTGCGGCTGCCTGAACTCTGGAAACAGTTGGGGCTGGGTGCTGCTTCCAACAAACAATTAGACCTCCCTATATTCATATACCACCTTAGGACCAAGAGCAGACTTACAGCAGGTGTAGAACTCCTGAGTGCAAAGTAGTGGGCTGTGCTCTACGATCTCGCTTCAAATCTACAACTGCCCTTTAATGTGCATGTTTCTGCCAGTTTTTCAGGGAATGAATTAGGAATAACGCATCTACAGTAGTTCTGAATGAATAGTAGATTCAATTGTGATTTGCCACGTGCTAGAGAATTGTCATCTGGGCTGACCCAATTGTCAGCCTTGTGGCTGACCCAGGCCTTTGCCCTCCAGGCCGGGGCTTCTGCCTCCAGATCCACGAAGGAAGACTGCCCAGGACTCGAGGTGGGCATCTCCCAGCACACGCCTGCCTGTGCCAGCCCCGCTCCTGGCAAGAAGGAATCATCAGAAGGAGGTCTGGTCAGGCCGACACAGGCTTCCCTGGGCCAGAGGCAGTTTTAAAGCAGCTAAGAATGGACCTAGGCTTTGCAACCTTAAGCACATCCCCCCACCCTCAAGCAGCTTTAAGTCATTCTGAATTATATTCAGGACACTGCGCCTTTCTGTCAGGAGTGGTCTTCTATCGGGAAGAACCTTTCTGTCCTTCAGTCCCCTTTGATGATCAAATGTTCCCATCTTAGGGGGTCTTGGGGTGTTGGGATGACTTTTTCAGTTCTCTAGGTTTGCTTCCAGGAGGACTCTCTGATATGATTTAGTATATTTTTGACAGTTTTACTGTTTAAACAGTTTATTATTTACACAATGAACCCTAGCGAACCCTCTCCTCCTGCTTTCAGGAATCACAATAGGAGGAAACCAAGGACCCCAAGCATGGAATGGTTGAACCCCAGGCCTGGCAGCTGGACTCCCTCTAGAGGCCACTCTGGCCTGAGTCAAAACAGTAGGACCATCCCTCCTGACCACGCTGGAAGTCCACGCAGGACATTTTACAACTCAGCCATCAGCAGGCAAGGAGGCTAAGAAGCCCTGCACAGAGTCCCAACTGGAAGACAGAATTTTTTTTGTGCACTCTCTTAATTTTTAAATGTTGGCTCAACTTTCCACAATTTTTTCACAGTGGTTATAACAATCACGGAGGAAAATGAAAATGCATAGAGCTGGCCGGAAGGCATCTGCAGACATTTCAGCATCTCTCCACGAGGAACTGAGGCCCTCTGTCCCAAAGCCACGGAGTGTTTGGGAGTGGTCCCAACGCGGCCGCGAGCCCAACCCTCCCTTCCCTGGCCTTTGCCAGCCGCGTAGCTAGCGCGGTGCTTAAGACCCGCACCGCGCCCAGATCCCCGCAAGTTCAACCAGCCTTCTCTCGTTTAGATCTTTAGAGCACCTGCGTGCAGGTTAAATGCCGCCCCCTGCGGAGAAGTGGCTATAAGTAGATCTTTCAACCCCCAGACGAGACCCGTGGGAGAGGAGGACCCAGACCCAGAGGCACCCTCCGCCTAGAAGGGCCGCCGCCCCTCGGCTCCAGGTACCCCAAATCACTCCCCACGCCTCTGCGCACAGGAACCGGTTCCCAGTCCGATAGCGTCCCGCCTCGAAGAAGTCTCCCCACCGCCAAAGACGGTCGAGCCGCGGAGCCTGGGCTTGCTGCCCTTTGAGCTCCGGGGGCGGAGCCAAGGACCGGAGCGGGCGGTAACGGCAAGAGGCGCCGCGGGGGCGGGCTGAGGGCGGGGCAGGAGGACTGCGGAGACGCGGCGGCGCGGGGCTGCGCAGAGTCTTCTCGTTGCCCCGCGGAACGGCGGCCCACTGGGCTACTGGCTGAGGCCTGGTGGGAGTAGAGCCGGAGCCGAGCTCCGTGTCGACCGCGTGGTGCTGGGGAGGCTAGAAGACCGGAGAATAGTCATGGCGCCGCACAGAACCGAGGCCCGAGCGTCTGCGGGCGGCCTGGGCGCCGAGTAGCTAGGCCGGGCCTGAGCGCGGGCGGCGGCGGAGGTAGCTGCTTCCGCGCCCCCCGCCCTCGCAGGCCCCGGGCCCAGTCCGCTGGCGATGGTGACACATGCGACGGCGGCGGCGCGCCGGCGGCAGGACCATGGTTGAGCGCGCCAGCAAGTTCGTGCTGGTGGTGGCGGGCTCGGTGTGCTTCATGCTTATCTTGTACCAGTACGCGGGCCCGGGGCTGAGCCTGGGCGCGCCCGGCAGCCGCGGGCCGCCCGACGATCTGGACCTCTTCCCCACTCCCGACCCACACTACGAAAAGAAGTACTACTTCCCCGTTCGCGAGCTGGAGCGCTCTCTGCGCTTCGATATGAAGGGTGACGACGTGATCGTCTTCCTGCACATACAGAAGACGGGTGGCACCACCTTCGGCCGCCACCTCGTACAGAACGTGCGCCTAGAGGTGCCCTGCGACTGCCGGCCCGGGCAGAAGAAGTGCACCTGCTACCGGCCCAATCGCCGCGAAACCTGGCTCTTCTCCCGCTTCTCTACCGGTTGGAGTTGTGGGCTGCACGCTGACTGGACGGAGCTCACTAACTGCGTGCCTGGCGTGCTGGACCGCCGCGACCCCGCCGCGTTGCGCACGCCCAGGTGAGGCCTGCCAGCTGCGCATGCGGTCGGGGCCAAGCGTTTAGCCCAGCTTGCGGCGGCTCCGGGGGCTGTCCTGGGCCCACTCTGCCTCCCTCTGCCCTCTGGTGACCCCATTGCCCCCAGCCCTGCTGGACCATCTCTTCCCCCGCGCCAGGTGCTGGAGGCCCCAGCCACTAATCTCACTCTCCCCTTCCGCCTCTGCTTTTCCCCGTCTCCTTCCGGGCTGTGCGTAGCTGGGCTTCCACTGGGTCATCGTGGTCTGGTGTAAAATGGAGCCGACCCCAGTTATAAGCCCAGGCTGGCCTTGGGACGTGGGGCACGAAAGTGGGTTCGCGTGTGTGTGTGTAGCGCACCTGGTGTGTCCGCTTTCCTGCGCGAGTCTGATACCCAAAGCTGAAGTGAGAAGTGGTGTGACTTTATCCCTGCATCTTTGGAGCCCCCATCCTGCCTTGAGGGGACTGGAGAGGCGCTACCAGGGAAGGGTGATTATCTCTACTTGCGTGTGCAAGTAGAACAAAGGCTCGAGTGTGACATGGAGGAGGGCGGGAGGCAGTGCTACTGTGCCAGAACCAGGTGTGAACTTGCTTTGAAAACTGAACAAAAGTGGGCCAACGGCCAGGTTGGGGGAGCTGGGCTGGTCTGGGACAGGTGCAGCCAGGGGCTACCTTCCCTGGGAGCTCCCCATTTCTGTGGAGGTTGAGGGCACAGGGCTGACCTGTGTAGGGGACAGCTCTTCTGGGAATCACTTTGTAGCCAGAAACCTAGGGCAGTGCGGGCCTTCCGGTGGTTAAAGTTGGGATGTTTTTTCCTCCTGTTGGTGTTGGTGCTCTGTGGGGCCTTCTTCTCAAGATACTTGTTTTTTGTTTACAGTTTATATATGCCTTAGGACTTCCTTTGCAAACCAGCTGAGGTGGAAATTTGTGTGGCCTGTGTAGCCTTGTTTGTGGACACTCTGTGTCAGGAAAGTTCAGAGTCTCTCCTGAGTCTGGAAGATCTGGAGCTGAGTAATGTCCATACATTGCTCTCTTCCTGCTCAGCCCTTCAGTCCTTTTCATGTGGCCTTTCTCAACTGGCAGGAGTTTGGGGCCGTAGAGCTTGGCAGAGGTTGTGGGGGGTTCTTCCCTTGTTTGTGTGTTGCCTCCCCGCCCCGCAAAAAGAGCAGTCCTCAACTGGAGGGATAATATTCTCTATAAGCCCCAGAGCTTATACATCTTGTCTCTCCAGAGCCCATGAAGCATTGTTTCTTGCCCACACTTGGCCTGCTCTGAACAGATGCACTTTCCTAACCTAACACCCATGTCTCTGTCTCCTGCCCGCTATGATTCAGCCTAGCTGTGCTAGACTAAGCTTGGCCTGAGGGCTTGCAGCTGCTTATCCACAGCAGGCCCTGGGAACTGGGCACTGCCCAACCCAGATAGACCCAGGTGGGCACCACCCTGCTTGCAGAAAGGAAGGCAGGGGGACAGACACCATCCTGTCTGCCAGAGGGAATTAGCTCTGGAGAGCGCCTTTAGGGAGAGTATGCAGAACCTGATCTGAAGGCTGTGGTGAGGCCTGAATCAAACTGGCCCAGTAGATACGACTTTGGTGCTAGTTTGCAACCAGGACACAGGTTGATTTTCCCTTGGCGTCACCAGGGTAAAGGGTCCCTGGACTCTGTTCTAGAGTTTGTCCATGAGAACAGATTAGCCTCCCTCACAGACAGAAGTGGGAGGCTCAGGTGGAGCTTATTGCTGCAGTCCCTACCCCCATGCTGTACCAGGTGAGTCCCAGTGCCCCTGCCTGTGTGTAACAAGAAAGGAAAATAAATGCCATATGCTGTGCCTGGTCCACCAGATGCCTCTTGCTGCAGTGGGCTGTCAGCACCCCCCTCCTGGCCTGGAAGTTGCTAAGCTCAGCAGCATCAGGCCTGGTGGAGGAGGGGCTTCCAGAGTGATCTAGAGGCCTTTGCTCTCTGTCATCCACTCTGAGAGCTGTCTCTGCTACCAGGCAGGTGACAGACCTTCACCTTTGCTCTTTTTCCCGTTCTCCTTTCATTTCTGTTCCAGATGCTAGATAGATTGCTTTTTTTAATGAGCTTCCTCAAGAGGCCAAGGTATTCTTGGCTTCCGAGTTTACAAGCCTACCTGCACTGTGGTTTATCTGCCAAGTGTTCCCCTAGTTTGTGGAGGGTGGGTTTAATTCTCCCATTTGTGCAGAGACCTAGAACTTGGAATGGTGGCTGGCCCTGTTCTCCATGGGGTGCCTGAACCCAGTAGTACCTAGTTTCATGAGTCTCAGATCTCACCCTCAGCCTCCTTCCAGTAGGGCCAGATCCCACCCCTCCCTGTGGGTATTTAAGTGACCCCCTTGCTGGTGAACTGAGGAGAGGTAGCCCTGGCTCTGAGAGCTGTTTTGATGGAGCCCTTTCTGTCATGAGGGGCACTTACCCCAAGCCTCTCCCAGTTCCTGGGGCCGGTGTCTGCGGTATTTTTTTTAATGTTTATTGACTTTAGAGAAGAGGAGGAAAGAGGAAACATTGACTGGTTGCCTCATGTGCGTGCCCCAACTGGGGATAGGCCCACAACCCTTTGGTATATGGGACAATGCTCCAACCAACTGAGCTACCCTGCCAGGGTAGTGTCCATGGTATTTTTAGATCTAGGAGAGATGGGTCTTATGCAGGAAATGAGGATATTCACAGCTATCTCTCATCACAGGGTGCCACCTACTGAGCTGGGTCTGTGTTTAAGTCACAGATGAAGGTGGACAGGTTTTCAGTGCTTTCCTGGAATATGATTTAGAACTTAGAGCAGCTCTTAGTGCTTCTTGACTTGGCAGACAAGAACAGGTGTATGAGGGAAGTATTGGCAGGTCCCTTTTTCATCCTGTGTCCATTGAGGGGGCTGCCACACTTCCTGGCATTAGCTAGGAATGCTTATAAGGCCCCTCAGGAAGGACTGGCCTTGAAGAGATGTGGCTGCCTGTTTCCAAGATCTACTTTGGTTAGAGTGTCTCCACACTCCACACTCTTGTGTTATCTTGTAGGGTTAGAGTGGTGCTCCTTAGGTCCAGAGCCCTCCTTCCTGTTTTCATCTACCTGAATGGGACAGAAGATACAGGGTCTTGCCTGAGTTGCCCTGGAAATGTCCCTGAAATCATGTAGACTTCATTTGGAACTAACAAGGGCATTTGGGATCTGAATGTGATTTCTGGGCCATTTCTGTAGGCTATTGGCCTGGCTTCAGCCACATCCTCTCTGCAGCAGGGCCACCCTGAAGACCCTCTTGGGCTCCCAGTATCTGTGATGGTGCCTTGCAGAGACTGCCTCCCTGTAGGACATACAGAACCTAGAAGCTCTAGCATTGAGATTGTGTGCCCTGTCAGTTTCTGCAGCCTCATCTCTGGTCACACGCCCTCCCTCCACCATTCCAAAGTCCCCTCTGGTTCCAGAAATATGCCTGTGTTGCCCTCTGCTCAGCTTACCCTCATCTCCTCCTACAGCTCTGCAGCTATATCTCTCCCTTCAGCCTCCTTTCTGCTGCCTCTTACTCCAGGAAGCCTTCCCTGGCAGCGCTTTCTTGCCTTAGGTATCCTTGGCCATTCTCATTCCATAACATAGCATGGAATGAGCATCCTCTTATTCCATAGCATGTTGGCTGGCCAGATGCCAAGTGGGTGCTGCCCACAGGTTGGCATCAACAAGAACATTCTCTTGGACCCACAGCATCTCTAGGAGCTGTGATTAGTTGGCTTTCCCAGAAGTCAGGGCCCCTCAGGCAGCCAACCCAGTTGAGCAGAGTGAGATTAGACTGGTTCTGTGACTTTTTCTGTGGCACACAGCAATTCCCACCTTACATTCACAGACGCTTTCTTCTGTACCATCAAGAGAACAAACCCACATTTGCCGGCAGTGGGGCAGAGGTCACCTAGGGCCCAGGACTGGGACCAGTGAACAGGGCCCGGCCACCTAAAGGACCTGGTTTGGGTGCCATCATGGCTGAATCACTTGGAAAGGACTTGGATTGAGATAAAAAAGGAATCTGAAGTCAAAATATTGAGAATTATATTTTCATTTAAAAAAAAGAAAAGAAAAAGGAAAACCTCTTGTAAGCAAATGCATGAGAACTTTGTTTTTAGGCACATTTTTAAATGGCTTACTGACGATTTTTTCAAATGGTTCTCTGGCTTGTGAAATAGCCACGCTCTGGAATGCCTGTTGCCATAATGCACTGTACGACTTGCAAGACCAGCACATCTGTACTTGTAGGCACTTCACTTGTGAAACCTGGGGCTGTGCGAGTGGATTGGACCGCTGTCCTGTGGCACTGGCTCTGGTTTGGGGTCTTGTCTGCTCCTTGTGGGCACACCTCCTAGACTTGGGGCCCAGGGACAAGTAAAGCCCCATCAATAGGGGTTTCTTTCTTAGTATGAGGTCTGAGAGGTTTGACAGCTATACTTTGGACGTAACAGGTGGTTGCTGGGGGCATTTGTTGTCCTTAAGGGGCCCTGAGTCTTTCTCTTTCACGTCCCTCTCTTTTTGTTGTTGTAAAGTAATGACTGTGATAGATAATTGAGACTAAAGTATAAAAGTCATCCTATTCTTCACACATACTTTTTTTCTGTAATTGAAACCATAACATAAATTCCCCATGAACATCGATCCATGTCATTAAAAATGTAACACATCAGGAGCTGTAGGTGCCCTCTAGTATGCCGTCATTGATTCTGTGGTGTTGCAGGTGCTCACTTCTGACTCCTGTAGCAGTGCTTCAGGGGACTGGACATCCTTGTGTGTACATATTTTGCATAGCTGCAGTTTCCTTTGGAAATTTCTAGAAGTAGAATTTCTGAGTTGAATGGTCTAAATGTTTAAATGCTCTTCATATAAATGTTAAATTACTTTTCAGAAAGTCTGCACCTGTAATGTTGCCACCTGTGGTAGTTGAGTGCCTGTCTCAGCAGCACCCTCTTTGGAACTGAATATTGTAGGAGGCTGGCCCTTGTTTCCTGAGCACTCA